TGTTCATAGAAGGATTACCATTACATAACGTCTCTTATTCTTTCATCCAGGCCTTTTCATAATCCTTAATCATGTTCCTCAAATGAATGCATGCTAATTCATTTTGCTGTTATTAAGCTCTTGCACAAATATTTCTGCTTCATTTCCCAAATACAAGTTTCCTTTTCTTATGTCACAGTCATATGCCTCTAACAGGCTCCTGCTGACTCGGAACAGAACAGAACTCGGATTTATCTGTGCTTGTATTGGCTGGATAATTTCAGAGGTTGTGTGTGCTACTGAAATTTACCCAGCCCTCTCGGAGGAAATAAAAAGTGGATTTTCTTAATCCTGCCAAGATGCGCAGTGAGAGGTTACGTTTAACTGACGACTTCTGGTGTCTCTTGGGAAATAACCCTGCACGCTGTGGGACTAGAAACAAGTCTAAAGTGAATTAATTGTAATTTAAACCATGAGACTAGGGCCCAAGCTTATTAATAATGAAGTTGAGTGACTTTTAAGACATTTCTTGTGTTATGTGTACCAAAATGAGTACATCATACATCAGAGTATGTCAGCTAAAAGATGCTACTTCAAGCTCTAAAATATAATGTTTTGTATATAGGTGAAATCTGAAGTATGGCTGTATATGCCTAGGTCATCTTTAACCCAAAATCAAAAGAAAAATATTTATTTAAATAGATATAAATGAATCTTATCTTTCAGACAACACTCAATTTTGGAACCTAAGTGGTTTTTTTTCTTATTGACATTTACCATAATACATACCATAAATTAACAATGTATTTGTAACATTAAGAGCTGTACATCAAACACTTAACTATTATTAGGACAAGCATCATACAAATAGGCTTCGTTTTCTTGTAAGCAATATATTTTCAATTTAAATATCTACTGGGTATGTTCTTGTGTGCTGACTCCCAGTCTCATTACTTGAGGATAAAGGGATAAGAGTTTAAACAACCGCAGTAATGTCATATTTGGATGAGAAAACAAACCATATGCTAAACATGATTTAATACACAAAATTTGCTCATTTCTAGCTCATGCATTGACTGGGATAATGTGAGAATTATTAACTTTCTCTTGCACTGTTTTAATTATTGGTCTGCCCCCATGTTATAACTCGAAATGAGATTTAATAACCTGTGATGTGCCTGTTATTTACAAAGCTTATTTACATAGTAAAAGACAGATGTCAGTCATAGTGTTAGTTAATGTCAATGGGTGGCAGCTGATGCACAGGGACAGGATATTGGTGGCGAGACACTGAAGTTTGATTCTAAGCTTTCCTTACAATGCAGCTCTGTAGAGCAACATCTGGTGTTCAACATTAAAAACAGTTGACCCCACTGCAAACCCAAATAATTTGGCAAAACTTTGAGGCAATCAGATACACAATTTAGTTTTTAAGTTAAGAAATTCAAAATTTTACATTTTATTTTGTACTCATACATTATAATTGTTTGTAACTTGAGAGTGATTTCATACATTTAACTTAAAATGATCATGTAATCTCAACTTAAATATTTTTAAACTAGCTTTAACTCGCTAATTCAGTAAATGTTAACTTGCTAATTTGTAACACAATAATTTACTCATCCAGCAATTGCTATGCTTTGCTAATGCTAAGGCAATATAGAATATTTAACATATATCTGTTCTCAAACCAATCTCATCACCATGATAACCCCTGAAATAAGCCCATGACAGACTTGCATTAACATTAAACAGAACTAAATCTCCTTGAGCATTTTCCCTTTAGAGTGCCATGGCAAAGCATGCAGGGAAATAGGAATCCCAGCTCAGTTTCAGTTAAATTTAAGTTTGTCTAAATTAAAAGAAACAAGTTCATCCAACTCAAAACAATGAAACAATTCAGATTACTTAAAATGTGTAAATTTTATGAACTTGAAAGAAAAAGAAAGCTCTAAATACTCCTAAAAGTTAATTAGTTTCATTTAAGTTAACCCTACTGAAACGAATTGATTATTTTGAGCATTAGGGTTTACAGCCCTTAATAATTCACACACTGGTGTCTTTGGTCCTGAAGTAAGAGAACGTCTCTGATCCTTCTGCATAACCAATCCAGCCAAGTCATAATTGGCAGTTACCATGTGGGCTTCATAAGAGGCATGTATAATTTTTTATCCCCAACAGAGGACATGTTAAAAAGGTCTGAGACTGGGAGAAGACGAAAAGTGTTCAAAAGTTAGAAACTTTTTTGTTAGAAATTGTTATATATATATATATATACAGTATATGCATTGGCTTAGCGAACTCAAGTTCAGCCTAGACTGCAATGCCTAATTCATCATAATCCAGTTAATTCAGGATAGCTAAAATCAAGTGCCATTTTTTTTCATTATATAGAATTTTTTACGAAGAAATGCCACCTTCTACACGTAAAACTGCGTAACGGCAATCTCAAAATCTGTGTTTAAGTATGGAAGAACAAGAGCTTGACGTAAGCAAACAAGTTTGAAGAATTTTAAACCCACCCTGTATAATTTCATTCCAAAATGAAAAGTAGCTTATGCCCTTCATGCGCATTATCACATTTTGGATTGACTAGAATCGGATCAGATTGGAAGGTCACTGCTTGGTCACTTTTCTCATTGCTGTAAACCTTCCCATGGTTCAAGCGAGGGTCAAGCCTCACCATGCACAATCTCTGTGTCATCCAATAGAGGGTAGTGTTTAGTCTCCCAGCCAGACCTAACAGGTTTACCCTCCCCAGAACGAGGAGACCGACTGACAGCCCCGGGGCTGTAGATATGGGATGCCATCGTCCTCTTTTCCACTTCCCCTTTATCCCTCTCCCTGGCATGAAGTCTTGATGACTGCTCAAATGCTGTGGGCACCGTGTCCAATGCAAGCTGAGACTCGCACGTGACCATCAACTTAAAGAGCTGTATGTGAAAGCTGAAATGAGGGAGCAATTGCAAACTCTCAAGATTTTGTGAATTTTTAAACTTGGTTAAAGGATAAAGGGTGTGTAGCCAGACTTTAGACTAAGTAAAGTCTGTTAGACTTTCCAATTGATCCTGGAAAAACAGGATGTTTACGTACGGCATTTCTAGTGTTTATGCGATAGACATTTTAACCTCTTGCTGAAAATTCAGTTGTTTGAGCAGCATCATTCCTTTTTTATACCATATGGAGGGATGAGTTGTCAAGTGCAGTTCCCCAACAAAGCTTGAAGTCTTGGAATTGCCAGACTGTTGAAGAGGTGTGATGGAAAAAAATACACTGTTCTCAAGCAAATGTTATTTGAACTGCCACTAACTTGTCAGACAGGCATTGAATAAGAACGTTCTGAACTTCATATCCAAGGCAGAGCCAATGGATGAGCTTTTAGTAAAGATATATCATTAAATGGGAAAATAATTTACAAATCTTCCCACGTGTGCTATTTGTAATTTCTACTGAGACTTGAAATGAAGCTTGGCGAGAGATGAAGTTACAAGAAAATGACTGCTTTCATATTGCAAAATGCATCCGACATCTGCTTTTTGCCATCTGTTTTCTCCACATAAACAGGTGAGAGAACATATTGAACACAGGCTGCCAAGCCCATTTTCTTGGCTCAACTCTTTACAGGGTAGTTACGAGATGAAATCGGTGGCAAAATGCCTGTCATGTAAAGTCCCCTGCTTTTATGCATGGTCCTATTGTATAAACCCTTACGAAAAAGTACCATTGTAACCATAGTTTCTAAATAAATGAACGGGATCTTCCACAAATAGAATATTTCTGAATCTTTTTTGTCATTATTTTGAGTCGATTGGTTGTACAGTTTTACAGTTATACCAGATAACTGTAGTGACTTGTTTTAACAGAAGCTTGTTATAATAGTTACTTGGTGTAATCTTACACTTGGATTGAATTATTCTTTAGGGGAAACCAACTTCAGCAAATATATATGAGTTTATATACAGCACCTGGGTTGAACAGGTTCTAACAATGTATTGATTTTATCAGTATTTGTCAGGGCACAAACTTTTGGGGTTTGACTCTCACAAAGCAAACTGTCATTTGGCAGCACTAGCAAATTTAGCTAATT